ATTCTACCCTGAAAACACTCTTCCTATTATAAAGATGTCTATTTTTGTCTTTTTCTATACTTGCAATCCTGGGAAAAAAAAAAAAAAGATGTCACACTGAGTAAGGCACAAACACTTAGCAAAGCCCAAGATTTTCCAATATTAGTGTGTAGCTGAGACTGCCAACAGGACTGTCTCGGATTTATACAAATCCCTGGTTTGTTCCTACAGCTGTTTTCAAGGAAAATCTTTCTGCAGTTATAAGGCTACACACAGAGTAACCCAAAAACTTGAACAAGAGAAAGAAATGAACAAGGAAATCACCTTACTGGCAGAGAGTGGTTCACACATGGAAACGGCTTGAAATTTTATGTGTGTGTTCACTATTTGAGAGCCTTTGAGCGAGAATTTTCAATGAAAAGTGCAGGCAGACAGGCTATATTAATGCAGTGGCACACATAGATGGAGCCGCAGCATGAACAGTGGTACAGAGGGACAAGGAGCCACAGTTAATTGGCATGCCTCATTTGTAGCTGCTTGGGAATGTCTGTTACCCAGCAGTCAAATTTAGAGCCATAACCCAGGATACAAGGTCAACAGGGAGAAGCCGATTCAGTCAGCGTAAAACACTGCTGTAAGACTTTAGTACCACTGTTCAGTCAGGATTCACAACTACAAACCTCTCCTTCAGCTAGATTGGCTACATCAGCTATTACTCATAATATTCATCCATTCAAGAAGAAACCTCTCTGATTTTACAGCTGCCAGCATAGTCATTACCAGCACTTAGTCAAGGCATGGGGAAAGATTTTAATCACTTCTGGGCCTGAGCTGTCTTGAACCCCCATTTTCCACAGCAGTGGCCTAGATATTCTAGTCTTTCAGTCTTCTTTGAGGAACCTGTTGTAAATGCTGCTGCAATTCCCCTTTTGTTGGTATGTCTTAAGAGCTTTAAGTCCCTAGAAGGGTAAGCACAGCTGAGCAGGAAAACTGAGAACTCAATTGTGCCACACACACTTCCTTTTCTGTGCCCCTAGTGCAGCAATTCTTAGTAAAGAAGATGACTGACCAAAGTCCAAATGGTAATTGGAATAACAGGGCATTTTGGAGCTCGTAAGCCTACCCTGAACTACTGCAACAACCACAACAATTTGCCTGCACTCCTGAAAAGGAAATCTTAGCCTCAACATTTCATTACCATATATTCTTACCTTGAACCTCAAGTTATGTTACCTGCAGAGCAGTGTGAAAACATACTCGTGACGAAGTGTTTAACTTACTGAGCTTTTAGCTTCTCTGCAGTTCTTAAGAATTCAACTTTCTTAGCTTGTTCAGCTTTCATCTCCCAGTTCTGAAATTGTCGACCAGCACCTGCAGCACTGGAACTGTTCTCATTCTGTAGATAACAAAATCAAAGGTTATTCACAACCAGCATTTTTGAAACGCTCATTGGTTACTTCTAAACAAACACCACCACGGTGCAGAGTTACAGCATTACTGCAGTTTTCTACCGGTGTGACTGAACCAATCCTAAGTCGCACAGGTATAAAACTGGAGTGACGGCAAGCAGATGACTGTACAAAAAAAAAAAAAAAAAAATTAAAAATAAACCCGCATTTTTCAACAGGGAAAACGCAAAGCCTGCAACATCAGCTCGCTCCAGCAGCAGCAGCACAGCAACACCAGGCCGGGGCTGAGGTGCCGGCGCGCGGGGCAGGG